CTATTAAGCTCACGTTCTTTCCCATCCTTTCCACCAGTTCATCTTTCTGATAGAGGCCCAAGAAAGAAGCAGACAGAAGCCTGTTCCCTGAGGGTGTCCACTCATCTCTCTCTGTTGGACTCTCACAAAAATTTTCACCTCACAGTGGTAGCTTGGACAGTGTGGGCTCCAGTCACACTTTCCTTGTTCTACCTCAAACAGAGGCTCTGCTGATTAGTGTCTTAGGACCTTTGTCTTCATCATACCCTATTCCAGTTACCAGGCCCCACTAAGGTGTAAATGGTCTCCCTAAGTACCCATGAGGAGAGAGAAATGGGTTGGGTGAGTGCCCATCTTGTATTTTCTGCCAGTCACTCTCTGCCAGTGAACACATATAGAGAAGACCCTCCGTCAATCATGATCTGCTGGGAGGGGGCTGTTCTATTTTATGGGGTAGCATTGGGATGCATGCATGAGACCATTTATGGGGGTAGCATTGGGATGCAAATATGAACTTGACTTGTTAGTCTTCTAAACAAATGTTGAAGGAATAAACATTAGTTATCAGCTGCTACACTTGGAAATGAAAACAAAGGTATAAAAGCTGGCATCACAGTGAACAAGATCATGCTCATCCATCTGCCAACACAGTCATCTTGCAAACATTTGTTAAGGGTCCATGTTGTGTCCAGTGATGAAGAAATGGCCATGGGCTCTGACACATGGTAGAAGGCTCCATATAATGCACCTGATATGCTTGGTCTTCACTTAGGAGTATGACCCTGTTTGAAAAATATGCACCTCTGACTCCATTTTCTCATCTATAAAATGAAGTTGATTGGATGTCACGATTCGGCAATCTTGCACAGAAGGCAGCTAGAGTAATAGCTCTCTTTTGGGTTTCAATAACTCGTCTTTCCCTTCCTTTTTAAGAGCTTGGACTGTCTGCTCTGAAATTCTCATTTCAAAGCCAAAGGTTTTCCAACAATTGGTGCCAGAAGAGAGGAGCGAGTCAGGTCAGAGCTGAGGTCTCCATTCTCTCACTTTACATGCACAAAAAAGAAAATAATGCTTGAATCCAGGAATGAGGAGAGATTTTTTTTTTAAATCTATGATATTAGCATAATTAACATAGAAAGAAAAGACTTTTTTTTTTTTTTTTTTTTTTCCTGTTCTCTTTGCTATTGAGGTTTCAGCAAGACTTGATTTGTCGATGAAAAGAAAGAACCCAGCGGAGGAAAGCTCAGGGCAGTGACTTGGTATGTTCAGGCTGCTATAATAAAAGACCACTAACTGGGTGGCTGATAAACGATGGCAGCTTATTGTTCGTTGCTCTGGAGACCAGAAGTCCAAGATCAAGTTGCCAGCATGGTCCACTTCTGGTGAGAGTCCTCTTCCAGGCTCATGACCGGCATCTTCTCGTTGTGCCCTCATATAGCAAAAGTGGGTGAGGGAGCCCCCTGCAGTCATTTTGATAAGGGCACTAATTGTATTTATCAAAGCTCCACCCTTGAGACTGAAGCAACTTCCAAAGCCTCCAGTGCCTAATATCATCACTTTTGTGGGTTAGGATTTCAACCTATGAAATTCAGGGGGCACATTCAGGTCATGGCAGGCAGTATGCTTTTTCCTTGCTATGTTTTTCCTTTCTGTCCAATACCCAGGTGGTAGGTGATACACAGTCATACTAGATGAAGAACTTGGATATTGATCAGAAGGAGCTGAATTTGGTTGTGCCTCTACTCTTCTGTACATGTGAAAACTTTGGCAGATTAATCTTTCTTTTTTTTTAAAAGATTTATTTATTTATTTATATAAGAACTGGGGTACAGACCAGAGGAGCGGAAGGGTGAGAGGATTCACCAGAGACAGAGCAGGGAATAGAACAGGCAGACTGACGAAATACACTGCTGAGGGGAGCAGCGGGAAAGACAGGACAGGTTTGTCGCACCATGTGTGACCCTCGCCTGCCATCCAGGATCGAACCTGCGCTGCAGAGGCTGCGGACAGCTTCACAGCGTAGCGCTCAACCACCTGCGCCACTAGGGGAGGCCCAGATTAAATCTTTCTGAGCCTCAGTTTATTCCTCTGTCAAGTGGAGATATTAAAGCCCATCTCATGGACCGACTGAAGCAATGGATGTACAACATCTGGCACACTGCAGACATCAACATCTGGTTGTCCCATCTCATCTCTTTTACCTTGGGAATCTAGATTTGTACTGACATTGGAAAATCACATTTTTCATGTAGAACTCTCTTAGGTCTTCTTTGTTCCTAATTTTTTTTTTTTTTTTTACCTTGCCTCTAGAAATTCTTACTCCTGCCTCCTCAGCTCCTAGTTCCTGCCCAGATGAGAACGTTCACCCCTCTTCTGGACAGTTTCTCCCTGGCCTTGTTGCTTCTAGTCTCCCCTGTCTTGTCCACAATGCACCAGAGTTTTCCAAACAGTAAATCTGACACACCACACTTCTGCCTGAATCTCTTAGACCTTACTGCTCTCATGAAGTTCATAGGTTCTGACCTTGCATTTCAAGAGCCACCCTCCAGCTTCCTCTCAGCAAAACTGCCAGAACCCTACACTCCAGCCATTGTGAACATGCCCTACCATAATGCATCTCATTGTCTCACACCGTGGTTCTTTGCACATGCCACTTCCTCATCCACCTGGCCGACTCCTATACATCCCTCAAGACCCAACTGAAATCATTTTGAGGGAAGTCTTCCTGAACACTGCTGAAACTGAGTACCTGCCCTTTCTATTTTGTACCCAATATTCTTTGTTCAGCTGTTATCATAGCACTAAGTGCACTGAATTGGTACCATTGGTATACATGTCTATTGTTCTCTACAGGTAGAAGTTCTTTGGATACAGAAACTACACTTTTTAAAAGATTTATTTATTCATGCATACAAGAACTGGGGTACAGACCAGATGTGTGGGAGAGTGAGAGTATTCACCAGAGACAGAGCAGGGAGAAGAACAGGCAGACTGCCTGAAATACACTGCTAAGAGGAGCAGTGGGAGAGACAGGAGAGGTCTGCCACGCCATGTGGGTATCTCCCCAGCTGGCTGGAATCAAACCCACACTGCAGAGGCTGCAGACAGCTTCACAGCACTGTGCTCAACCACCTACGTGACCAGGGAGGCCCAAAACTACACTTTTTAAAAAAAACAAGTGTATACATTCATTCAGCAGACTTTTGTTCTGCATTTCATATACCAGACCCTGGTTTGGCACTGGGAACTGACTAGAGAAGAAAACAGATAAGGTCTCTGTTTGAAAGGGGCTCATGTTCTAGCAGGAGAGTATAGATAACTAAGACAAAATAAATGAATAAGAAACATCTCATGGGTGATAAGTACTATAGAATATATCAGGAGACAGGTGGGAGGTGGGGGTGTGAAGTGTGTGTTGAGTGATCTAGGAAAGGCTCTTTGTACCCACCATAGAAGGCACTTTTGTTGACTGAAAGGGAGAGAGGGAGTTGATGGGAGCCTGTTCTGTGTCTTTTATACATGTGACCTTGTGACCAGTGTGAAGTTCATTATCGAGGAGTCCACGGACTCCAAGTGAGTGCCTCTTTGGTCCGTGTTTTCCAGCATGACAATTCTCAGAGTGGATTCGAGTCTTAATAAAAATGAGAAATGCTTGTCTTCCTCACCACAACCACCATGAGTAACCCATGGGTGGGAAAACCTAGTGCGTAGGAGCTAGAGGGGAATGAATGTGGGTTCAATATCAGAGAAAGCTCCAGAACAATTAGTGCTCTGTGACATCCTCATAATAACAGCAATTACGACAAAAATAACTCACTATCTGCGTGCAACTTGCCATTTCCAAGTAAGTATATTCAGAGTCAATATCATATGTGAATCTCCCTGCAGACCTGTGAGGTCATGAGCCCGACTTAACGGAAAAAGAAACTGGAACTCACAGGAGAAAACTACTTTGCCAGGATCATTAAACCAAATATCCAATCCAGAGCTCTAATTTCAAAATCTGGGTTCCTGGAAGGGCTGCCTGGGGAGATGGTAAACTCTCAATCTAATCTGCAGAGATGTGCAAGGAGAGGTTGAATATCCTCTCTGTAAGGAGATAGAGGATTTGTGGGGTGAGAAGTAGGACACATGGCCTCTTCCATCTCCCCTCTGCCCCAGCTCTGGGGTTAAGACTGTAAACGGCCCATCTCCAGGTGCATAGAAGACACTGATTCCTTGCTTCTGGGAGATAAAACAAGAAGAAGCAGCCTGCCCTTTGCTATGCTCTAAGTGAGGACTGCTCCAGTCTTCTGGGCTAGAAGGAAAGGTTGTGAAAAGCTAGTTCACATTTTGGCAGATGAATCCAGATAAAGGGCTGAAGAGATGGTTTCTTGGTAACTATTTGAAAGGACAGTATTTGATTCTCAGCAAAGAGTCATCTCCTATGGAGTGAAGTGAAAGTGAGGGTAAATGGTTACATTGCTCTCAGGCCCTAAGAGCACAAAAGAAAAAAAAATGTTATCTAACTTTTTTTCCAGGCTTGTATGCTTAGACAGTCTTTCTGACACAGCCTGTGCCAGGAGAAGCAACTAACCTTGAGTTGAGTTCCAAGGTCACTGGAGCCCAGGAGACTACAAACACAGAGGCGAGGGCCCACCCAGAGGTGAGCGCCCACCAACAGAAATTCAAAATGGAGTTATCTGAAGAAAAGCCTCTTTATACTTCTCCATGTGTGAATTGCCTGTAACTTCAGCCACATCTGCACTTCTTTGTCCTTAGCCCCCTCTTTAAAATTTAACTTCTTTTTTTCTCAATCCTGGTCTTCAAAGCCTACATAACCTTATTTTCTTTCTTCACTGAGGGGGCAGATTTGAGTTTACTTCTTACCTCCTTGCTGATTGATCTTGAATAAATCTTTCTCAAAACCTAATGTCCTAAAAATCAGCTGGGCAGTGAGCCCATTGTTAGGTAACAGAAGCAGAAACTGGTCAAACAGATGGTTCAAGAAGGGTGTGGATGGCAGTGTTGGACTCCAGAGCCCCTCCTTCTGCGTCCAGTGACAAAAGCCTTTGAGGTATCTCTGTAAGGTGGGAACTAAAGCCGCCCAGACACTGGCCGCCCAGACATGGCCAGATGGCACTCATCCACTCCAGGGCCTTTGCCCTGGCTCTTAACTGGGGCCCTCACCTGGGGCACAGATAAGGATACAATGCATGGTGTGAGGGTCAGTGTGTTTTGTCAGCACCCCACAAGTGCCTGTGCCCTGCTGTAAAACGAATACTGACTTCAGATGAGCTCTCTGAGTCTCCCTCACCCTGAGGTGCAGGCAGGAGAAGGTAGGAGAGCATGCAAATGTAGTCTCTCTGAAAAGAAGAGGCTGACTGTAGGGAAGTGCTTGGTTCCTGCCTCTTCCCTTTATGGAGGTGTCTGAGGCTGGAGATTATGTTACAGAAATTCTGGCCTTTTACCAAGGCAGAGGAAGAACAAGTGGTACTTCAGGAAGGGTGAGGTCAGGAAAAGCTTTATTATGCATCCATGAAGTCTCAGACCTGGGTAGCCCTTAAGGTCTGAGCTCCTGGTTTAAAGACAAAGGGTTCCTTTTATGCATAACTGTCTTCACCTTTGTTATGTTGATAACTGGCAAAACCACTGGTGGAGAGAAAAAGTGAGCAAAGTGGCTTCCTAGGCAAAGGGGAGTCTTGGACAGCGGGAGGGGTTGCAGCCCTCTGGAGGTTACCCCAAAGAGACGGGACTACTCCACTGGTTATCTAACTCTTTGAATGCAACTTTGTTTAGACAGGAGTGCTGAGACCTAGGCCATGAATCTTTAAAGGACAATATTTGTAAGTAAGCAAACTTGTTAGTTATGCCTGCATTGGAGTGTTAATTGCACCTGGGCTGGACAGGTGTCAGAGACAGGACCGAGGCCCAATGTGTGGGATCTTTATTATATCCATTTTTTCAATAATATATTTTCTTATCAGTGAGAGGAGGGTGTCTGTACCTGAAGTCAGTTTTAGCAAGTTTGGGTCCTGGCTTCACTCACTGGGAGACCTTGGCCACTTCAGCATTCTGCTCTCAGAGCTGTATTTTCCTTATGTCACCAATATGACACCCCCACATTGGGGATTCATGAAGGCAAGACTCTTAGCAAAGTAAGTATCTTATGACTGTGGTTTCCTATCATTATTACCTATTAATTATTACTCATTGTTTATTATTAATTTTGACTACTGTTGTTATTAGGGAAAGTAATAACTTCAGGAAAAGGCTGGGAATTATTGGGTTGGAGATCTTTCTCCACAAAGTAATGGCATTGACCTTGAGTGATCCCAGAGTGTAGGCTTCTTATGGCAGATGTAATAACTGGGGAACACCTATTTCAAGGTGTTTAGGAACACCAAAATCAAGCCTTGATTTTGGTCTTACTTGGAGTCTTTGAAAATGAAAGGAAAATCCTTCATAATGAATAAGAAGAAATATTAATAATAGCTGACATTTATTGAATGTTTGATACATGCCAAACCTTGTGTTAAGTGCTTAATCATTAACTCTTTTTAATAACACCATGTGCGTGTATGTGTGTGCGTGTGTGTGTGTTCTTATTAACTCGTTTTATGGACAAGCAAGTGAAGGCATGGTGACACAGGTGATTTACTCTTGAATACTGTGTTAGTTAGCTGCGCTGTAACAAATATCCAGTTCACAACGATGGTCATTTATTACCGCATAGTTTTTGTGGGTCAGGAATCCCACAGTGCATGAGCTGGGTGGGTACGGGCTGGGGGCTCTCCGGAGGCTGTCATCGGACATGCTAGATGCTGCAGGCACCCCTGAAGGTTGGATGGAGTGGAGGTTCCCCTTCAAAATGCTGTCTCCAGGGACTGGCGCCTGGCAAGGAGACCTCTCCTTGGGACACTTGAGCTTCCTCATGACATGCTGGTTCTCTTTCTTCAGAGTGACTAAAACAGAGCAAAAGTGAAACTGGAACTCTGTCACTTCCTCTTTATTCTATTCCTAAGTCCAGCCCGTGTGTGAGGGAGGGCCATGCTCTTCCAACTTTGGAAAACTGAAATAGGGGCAGAGAGGGCCACAAGAGAGACTACAGGACAGGAGACCAGATGGATGGAATGGCCACCCACCTGCCCAGGCTCTGAGACCAGAGAGCCACCAAAAAGCCCCAAAAGACCAAAAGGCCCAAAACCAAAACCAAGAGCTATAGACTAACAAAGCACAGTGCCTGATAACAGGACAGGTCAATGTCCGTGGGTTCTCACCCATGCACACAATTGCAAGAGACCTCAGGCTCCAGGAGCAACCACCATGGTGTTTATTTTACAAACAGGGGAAATAAAGAGCTCGCTGTGTCCACAAGTGGTGATTGCCTCACCCAGACAGCGTCAGTGACAGTCGCCACCGGTCACCAGGAGTGCTGGATAGCACTAGCCAGTAGTGATGGCCACTACTGGTCCTTCAGAGGTGGTGTCAGAGATACCCAGTGTTAACAGCTCTTTGTGAGTTATTGGGTTATACCAACAACAAACGTCTCTTTGAGACTCCAGGCCCAGGGCCTTTGGTGCTCCTCTAGGGCAATGTCAGAGACAGGACCGAGGCCCAGTGTGTGGCGGAGTCCTTCGGCTTCTCTTCCCTCGTTGGAGGTGGGCTGCTGGATGCTTCTTTTCTTCTTTCTTAGGAGGCTGGAACTGTCTTCTTTTCTTCAGGGGCTGGCGTTGTCTCCTCCTCCTCCGAGGGCTGCCATCATCTTCCCTCTGTGTGTCATCTCTCCTCATCCCTCAGCGCCCTCTAACCCTGGCTTATATCCTCTTTCAGGGTGCCCCGCCCACAAGTCTGAGTGGATCATTTTTCAATCCTGTGGCTGATTGGGCCATTTACCAATCAGCCCATAGCACCTGATTGGTCCATTCCACAACCAAGGAGGTGCGCTTTACATAAAAGGGCTCTGAAGAACTACTGCCACAACTGACTTGTGGTGAGAGGCTGGGTCCTGGTAACAAAAGTCTGATTGGACCATTTAGCACCAATCAGCTCATAGCTCACACCTGATTGGTCCATTCCACCATCCAGGAAGTACACTGTTACATAAAAGATCTCTGAGGAGCAACTGCCACAACCAACTTGTGGTGGAGCAGCAGGTTGAAGACACCACTGCTCCTGCCAGCTAACACCACTGAGATGGCTGAGTTCTGATAACAGTCACAGAAGTCACTCTGCATCATTTACTCTTTATTCTATTCCTCAATCCAGCCCACGTGTGAGGGAGGGCCATTCTCTTCCAACTTTGGAAGAGAGTGTCAAAGAATTTGTGATGATACTTAAAAACTGCCATGGTGACAGAGACAATTTTTGCCTCACTGGGATTCAAACCAAGTCCTGGTGGTCCACAAGCCTGGCATCATTCTTTCATTTCAGGTCGCCTCCATACCCTCAGGATTAGTGTGACACTGTTGGTTGGTCTCACAGCTATAAAAAGGTATTGATTGATCTGAGTGCAGGTGGAGGGACCAGAATCAGGATGAGCTGCCCCAAACTGGGAATTTAAGGTGAGGTTTACTGGAGAGAGCTGGGCTTAAGTGGCTAAGGATCCTGACTGTGTCTGCTCATGTGCTATGAGGGAACAGGGAGAAGCTGGGTCACCCCATGTCAGAGGGAAGGGTGTGTGTCTCTACCATGTCTGTGTCTCTGTGCTTGTGCATTTCTCTGTGTGTCTGTTGTCTGTGTATTGCTTATATGTCTATGAGAGTGTGTGTTTATGTATGTGTGGGTGTCTGTGTGAGTGAGCGCGCGTGTGTGTGTCCACACAGAGGGCAGCAGGTGTGGAACTGTGCAGGACATTAAGGGCCCAAATAAATAGGTTGGGCTTCCAGTGGTGCTAAAGTGGAACCATTTAGGGCTGAAGCAAGAGTGATGAGGTCAGATTTGGCTTTTGGGAGCCGCGGGATGTGGGGGAGAATGGACTGGGCCAGGATGAGCACACTCTCAGGAGACCGTGGCCATGCCTGGGAGAGGGGACGGGCAAGGGCACAGTTGCTGGGGTGTGGTGTCTGCCTTGTCTTGAGGTTGAGGAGGATGGGAAGGATCCACATTTATACCACTTCATTAGACCTGGCTACCTGACTGGTGTGGGCATCACTGCTGAGAAGAGGACCCAGGAGCAGAAGGGGCTGAATGAGCAAGGCAAGGGGCCCCTCTTTGACTATCTCCAGTGAGGTGCCTGTGCTTCATCCACAGGTGACCCTGGAGTGCTTGGCACTGTGGGTCCGGAACTGTGCAGAAAGTCATGAATGGGGAGTGGGATCTGGAATATCCTGTGACTGAGTAAAAGAGCGTGATATTTGAGGTGACACTGACTTGAATTTTGAATGTTAATCCTTCTTGGGTCTCAGTGTCCTTAACTGTGAATTGGGGATGAAAAATCTTAAGATTGTTCTTAAGATCTTAAGATTGCTTAAGATCTTAACAATCTTAAGATTGCTCTCTGCAAAGGATTGTGTGTGTGTTGGGTGGGGGGTCCCCTTGGGAGAAAGGGAGCTAGGATTGGGAGATTAGACCCTCCTTGGCACATGACTCTGGGTTCACTTGATTCCTGCCCCAAACAAGGCTTTACTTCCACCAGTTTTCGGTACTGGCTGTGAGTCACTGCTGTTGCCTTTGTTTTGATGAGTGCCTGATGTGCCTGGCTCTGCAGTGATGCAGATGCTGATGCTGTTGCTAGGCAACTGAGCTACAGCACAAATCCTGTGATGCCTCCGTGCCACTCGACCCTCAATCCAGAGCTGCTGACTTCGTAGTTGGTAAAGCGGTTGACATGGAACTGGCTGTAAAAATAGGCGTGGACATGCAAGTCCAAGGGTGTGTTAGGGCAACGGGTGTATATATATATATATGTGTGTATGTGATGGGCAGACAAAGGCAGTGAGGATAATAACCTCCATTTATTAAGAGCTTGTTCCAGGCCTGTCTCTATCCATGGGTTAACTCATTAAATTTTTTATAATGGGTGCAAGATGTGTCTTCTGATCACTCCCATTTTACAGACAAGAAACCCAGGGCTTAGTGACGAAGTCTCTTATTGAAGGCCACTTAAATATTAAGTGTTTTAAACTGAGAGCTAAATTTTAAACCTTGATGTGTCTGAGCTCGAGAGGAAGGGGAATTGGGTGTTGGTTTCTCTTCTAATTTCTGGGCATTTTGCTTTACCCTTTGTCTACCGCACATCAGTCTCTGCAAAGAAACTAGAAATCAGATGGTGTGTACCTGTCTAGCCATCCGCTTGCGGAGTGCCTTCAGGTACTATTGCTGCATGAGGTTTGACATGCCAAGCCTCCCAGGCATCCTCTCCCCTCCCCGTGCTGGCTTCCCCTCCCTCCTTTTTGCACGTACTTTCTTTTTTTCTACACTTTTGAGCAGGTGACTTTCACCAACCTGACCTTGGGAGATCCTCCTCAGGCGCTCAGCTCAGATAGACATCCCTCCCCAGTGGACTTCACAGAGGCTGAGTACGGGGTCTTTATGCTCCCAAGTCTCCCCCACCTACCTCTGCCTCCCCCGTCCATATGACTCTTCTATACCAGGAGCTGAGATTCCACATGTCACTCTCCTTTTTAGGGGCTCTAACACCTGGCCCAAGAAAGATTTCTTGAATGAATGAATATGTGGAAAGTGGTTGTTTTAATTTTGAAGCTGGCTTTCTGGGGTCTTTGGTCTAGCATTCATTTGGGTGTAGACATTGTGCTGGGGGGTAGTGCACACCTCTAGTAAGTACTCAGGGCTCACCAGTAGCCCATCCTTCAGGTAAGGAATCTGAGGCTCAGAGACAGGAAGCAACTTGCCCATGCAGCACAGCTAATACTTACCTCTGCCACCAGAATTTTGGTCTGACTCAGGGTCAGACCAAAGACTCTAGTCTATCAGTGCCACTGCTCCACAGTGAAGTTCTAGGCTTTTCTGAAGAAGCTTAAAAATGAAATGGTGCCGAAATGAGAGCACTGATATTTCCGCATATCTCCAGTATTCGCAGCCACCTTGTCGAGTGTAGAGACAACACCTGCCAGAGAATGAAAGGCCAAGTTGAGGGTGGGAGTGTGGAGGAGTGTGGAGACAGACAGGGTCAGGGAGTTCTGGGGGGTGTGTGTGGGCAGGGGCGGTTATGGGCGGTAGAAGCCCAGAGTGAGCTACTGCCCCAGGACACTGGGAGATCCCTCCCCATCCCACATACACACACTCACAGGACACCGTGGAGGGACCCTCAGCCAATAAGCGCTACTCAGTAATGGCTGCTGCTTGTGCCTCAGGGCTCACTGAGGCCCATAGGCTGTTACTCTGCCCCAAAGCTTAGGAGTGGGGCAGGGTCTCCTGGCTGAGCAGGGGCCACAGTCCTGCCTGGGCTGCAGCAACTCTCTCAGAAAATGAGGCAGGAGGTGCATGGAGCCTGGAGGGGAATGTGGGGGACTCTGGAAAGCCAGAGTGATGTGGGCTGGAGGGGCGAATGGAGAAAGGCAGGTGATGCACGGTCAGACTAAAGGACCATTCATCCCTCTTCAGGGCAGCATCAGTGGCAACTCCCCCTTCCCACAACCTCCTCAGGTTAAAGAAGAAATTATTATCCCCACATACAGAGGTCCTGGACCCGCATTCATTCATTCACCCACCCAATAAGTTTCACTGAGCACTAGTTAAGCACTGACACGTCCACTTGGATGCCTAATATGGATTGTGAGCCCTCCCCCGATCATCCATTTCCCCGTCCTCCCATGTCCAGCAGCAGCACCGCATCACCCAGGGCACTGAGGGCCGTGTTCTGTCCTTCTCTTCCCATCCATCTGTTTGCATCTCCTACTCCCTCTACTTCCGCTGTGGTAACTGCTTATATTTGTTTCTCTCTGACTTCTATACCTCTCCCTGGTCCCAGTGGCCCTTATCTCAAGCCAAAATGATAGCTTCAGCCTCCAATCAGTCCCTGCATCCATCCCTACCTTCTATAGATCGCAGATTGAATCACGCCCGGCCCCTGGAGGGAATCCTTCCTGGTTTCCAGGAGCATTTAGGAGGCAGGTAGTCTAGATACACCTGTGGGCCCACGATGGCCTCCCCCTTCCCACATCTCCTCATACTCATGCCTGCCCCAGGGCCTTAACCTATAACACCCCACCCTATCTGTGACAGCTGTCATACAAGCCCAGCTGTCATTCAAACTCATGCTGCTGCCACTACGAGACTTTTCCTCTCCTAGCTACGCTGTCATATTACCCTATTTTACTTATTGGTAACCTACTTAATTTTCTTTTTATTATTCCCCCTCCATTCTGTAAACTCTAGTGGACAGGAATTTATTCTGCTTACAGTACCTAGAACAATGGCAGGTATAGTGCTGACAGGGCGGGTGGACTGAACAGCTTTAGGGGGTAAAACTCTGTGTGAAGGATGCTCGGAAATAGTGCATTGCACAACTTGTGCAACTGTACATGCAGCCTTGGGGATACTCTAGTGAACAAGATGGATACAGTTCCTGATCTCACAGACTAGCCTCTAAAGGACTTTGTTTGACAATTTGAATCATTTTTAACTATGAGTGCCAGAGACTACCAGATACCTTATATTTATGATATACATTTTCCCTAACAAAAGTCATCATTTTATAGATTAGGTAACTGAGGTTCAGAGAAATAAAATGACCTGCCTAAACATCACCTAATTGGTGAGAGGCAGAGCCAGTATATGAACACATTTCAAGCTGATGGCAAAGTCCAGGTCCTTGGAGACACATAAGGCAGAGGGTCCCTTATAAAATATAAGGCAGTGGGAGTTTGTTCTGGAGGTAGGGCTAATATTTATGGTGCAGACATTCTGGAGAAAGGGCTGGGGAAGTTAGCTCCAAGCTTAGTGCTATGATTGGAGGGGGACCTGGGGTAGAGCCCAGATCTCCTGACCCCAGGTCCTTAGCTTAGCCCAGGACCATGTATGTTTTCAGTTTCCCTCCCCCACACCCATCCTGCTCCTCCGCCCAGATGTTTATTAAATGTCAGCTAGAATCAAACGGGAGCGTGATTTTCTAGCAACTAAGACCTGCTGAGGGCTCTCATGAGCCTTGGTTCCGTTTCTTTCTAGTTGCTTCTAACATTAAATAGAGGTCCTAGAAATATAATTGCTAGGACTTGAGGGAAAACAGCCACTTAGGCCACTCTGCTCCAAAGACTTCAACGACTTGTCAATATTTCTCGGCTGTGAGGTTGTTGGCATTGGTGCTAGGACTCCTGATATGTTGGGATTTCTAATTGTCCCCTCCACAGGTGCCCCGGCTGCCTCTTCTATCCCATTGTGGCAAATGGCACCATCTCCCACATTTTCTTATACCAGAGAGCTCCTTCCTCCTATACTCCCCTTCTCCACTTACTCTCTAAGTTCTGTTAATTCAGTCTTCCAGTAAATCCCAGCCTTGGCCATTGACCTCCATCTTGAGGGTCTTTCCACAATTCTTTCCAATAGGTGACATTGCTGATGTACTGTCAGTTGTAGTCCCAGGTGGAGTTACTGCAGGGAGTTG